CATGATTCACTTAACGACGGCAGTGATTTTTGCTCAACAAAAACAGCAAAAAAAATTTTTTTTAATGGTTGATTCACTTTAACAACCGCCCTGCTTAGCCACGGAAATTCTGGTCCGGACTCCAATCATCGGTAAAAAACTACCTCTGTCCTTTTTTTTTTCAGTGCAAAAATTTAATATTTTTTTTTTCCTTTTCGCAGGTGGTGCTTTTCTGAGAATGCAATTCTGCAGAGGCCATCACATACCGTGGTGTTAAGAAATGCTGTTCCTGGCGGTGTTTGTGTGTTTGCACATGTGTTTGTGTGTCGGGTGGGGTGTCTTTTTCTAACACTTACTTACAAGAGTTAACGCAATTTCTTCTTCACCATTAAACATAAATAGGGTAAGCAACCAAAAGTTGATTTCTCGGGTGAGAATATATCTTATATATTCTTATATAATCTCTTCTATCCAGGAAAGACAATTTGCACCAAAGAAAGGAAAGGACAACATTTTTCAAGGGAAAAAAAAAACAACTATTTAAGTAGAGAAGTTAGCAAAAGGCCCCCATTGTTAAATTTTCAAGATATTTTTTTTCTTATGGAGTCTTTTCAAAAGCCGCTTCTGTGCCAAGTGGAAAAAAACCGTGAAATTTTCGTTGCTTTTGAGGGAAATAGTTTCTGCTGATATTTTTCTTTTCTTTTCTTTGAAAGGAGCAATCAAAACTTTTGCGTTTTACCGCTGTTGTTATGGCAGGGAGCAAAATGGGGACATATTTTTGAACCCAAAATTGTTATTATTTTTTTTCTAAGCTGATTTTTGTCCTAGTTTGTCCTCCGCCGAGATATTTCTGATCCTATGCAGCTTGGAAACTGGACGATGAGTGGACTTCACTCCCAGAATTCCCCAGCCAGTATCTGGGAGTTGGAAGTCTACCCATCTTAAAACAAGCTGTCTGCGAAATTCTGGGAGTTGAATCCACCCATCGTCCAGCTGCCAAGCTGAGAAATGTTACCCAAGGAAATATCCAGAGGTTTGAGAGTGATGTGTTAGGCCTGTATGCTACTCATCAGAGGTGCCGTGTGGCTGTACTACAATTCCCGCCATCCCCAGCCGGAATAAATTCCATTGTACAGGAGTGCCGCAGCTCTTAAAAGTACATCTCCAAGCCCCCCGTTGTATATACAGATCAAGAAACTAGGGAAGGTCTCTTCTAAGATATTTTCCCCCCATCCGTATTGTTGCTTCGGGCTTAGCAACCTCTTCCCTGGTGGTTGCCTCAATTGCAAATGCTTCTTCCTTATCTCCCAAGATCAGTCCTGCCTCCCGTTATCCTGAGCACGCCCTGTGCATCCCATCAGCCATCCTAGTTTTGAAACGAGCAGACATCAAACAAACCACGATGAATAGTGTAAGGAGTAATCACGCACCCTCCTAGAGATTGAAATATTTTGGGGACTATTAAAAGAGGCCGAATATTATATTTCCCTGAAGGAGAAATGGAGAAACGTGTTTTTAAAGGCAGAAAGCAACACCCAATATCCTACAGCAGATGTCCAAAGTCTTTAGAGATGGAGTTTTTGGCTCCATTAAAAAATCCAGCCCAGCCTATTCACAAACCAAACACTTTCCGCTCCGAATGATGGGATTAAGAATTTATATCCCCCTCCACCCAAAGTCCAAGAAGGGCTTTTAGGACATAATAGGATTAGCCTACCGCCATTAGGACAGCAAAAAGACACAGAGCTCACTATATTGCACGATTCCCCTGCAAACATTTCAGAACCCATAGAAAAACCCTTGCATCCCTCAAGCAAATTTGTCAGCTGTCCCAGAACTGCATGCTGTGGTTCTGCTTCCAATAAATAGCATCCTTCTTTCCAATCGTCCTCCATTTTATTTCCAGCACATTTCTTCACAGTTTGGAACCAAACCAGATTTTTCTTCCTACAATAGTAAGTGGCTGGACTGTTCAGCGAATGAAACTACGGTTGATGGACAAGAAGAGAGAATTTTCCAAATGCTGGAAGCTTGAGAGATAAACCCAAAGGCTGCCCTAATCCTGGTTAGATTACGTTCAGTGTATAAATAGCGCTCTTGAGTTCCTAGATAAGATCCTCAGCGCTTATTTGGACCAAACCATAGCTAAAACCACGTTGCAAAAGCCAAATAAATCCTAAATTAATTACCCTTCTTGCTGCATCGCCTCATCTCTTTAAATTAAAGGGCAGCCCCTTCCCCAAAAATATGGCCACTGGCATTTGCAGGGAGGTCAAAGAAGTCAAAATGGCGCCCCCCCAACTGTGTCGAAGCTCTGTTCTCGCAATTCCAGGTAAACAAAGATGAAACTTCCATAACATGGTTTGGGGCCCGCTTTTGACTTATTTGACCTCCCTGGGGTCCCCATTTATTTGATAACCTTTTCTAACCTACTTTTCTTGTTTCTTTTAAAGGCATACATTTAAAAACTGTAAAAAATTACTACTAAAAGATTTTTTTATCTGGAAAGATTACATGGAATATGTCAGGTGATCTGCAGTAGATGGCCGCGTGATGGAAATAAACTTTCTGAACCTCCCTCCAAAAAAATCAGTCTTTTGCATGTTAAGGTGCCGCATTCGGCCTTTGCAAGAAAAATGTCCAATGTTCAACAATGTTTTGCTGAGATGGGAGCCCCCTGGTGGAAGCTCTGAGTATAACTCCCACTGGTGCCCTCTGCTGGATGAAACAGGTCGCTGCCGCTGATCATCTCTCCCTTGTTTCCTTGCCTTGGGTTCAAGGGAGCCTGCTCCAGTCTTTTCCCAGTCTCTTAATTGTTCACCGTGAATATCCGTATCAATATTCCAATGGCTAGAATTCCCACAGCGCCGGCCACCGCCAGTCCCCGTCTAACGATCAGTTGTTTGGTCGTCAGAACTTGGCCCGTTTTGGGGACATCGGCCGCCTTCTTGTCCTGCAAGGTGGGGCCATCTATGACGGTGAAGCTCAGCAGCACGACACCGTTCTGGGCATCCGTGAGTCCTGGAACAGAAAAGGATGGGTGGGACTCGAACTCATCTCCAGGCAGTCCTTGACTACAATGGAGCCCACAATTCCTTTATCTAAGTGAATCGCGTTTTTTCCAGGCCCTAATCCAATTTAAAAGTTCGTCTGTTTGCTTTCAAGGCAAACGTAATTCTTACTTCTTGAAACTCATTCCATGTTGCTCAACTCCAAAGCCCAGCAGCCACCAGCTTGGTTCTGTTCCAAATTTGGCCTACAGGTAGTCCTCGACTTACAGTTATAAGCAGGGGGGGTCTGCTGGGGGCTTGCAGGGGCTCAGGAGAGCCTCCAATAACCTCAAAAAGACGAGCAGTAAGGGAAAGCTGTTAATAAGCTTAATTGAACTTCTGGGCATTCAGCCAAGAGCATTTCACACCTGGTAAAAGTGTGGCAAGCTAGATAAACAACCCACTCAGTGCTGCAAGGGAGAGCTATTGAGAAAATCAGATAACAGCCACTAGCCTCCAAGGGGATTAATTCCCAAATAATACCCTGTGTTATGATTCCCCTTCAAAATTCCAACGAACAAAACAGAAAGCAGCCGTTTCACAATTAAATCAAACGGAAAGAAGTCTTACAAGATAACGGCTGGCAGGAATCTCAATCCACAGCATAAATCTTTACTCTGTCCACAAACCAGTTCTGGCAATAAATCTCTAGTCTCAGAGCTTCTGTAACGTCCTCACTCAAATAAGTCACTTTGTTCCTGGCAAAATGTACCAGCCCAGCTGTGCCCTTTTATACTCATTGAGGCAATGTGCTAATTTACTGACTCGCTCTCCTCATTCGCTCCAGCTGATTTTGCCTTCTGTTCCTTACATTTAACCACAAATTTTCCAAGTTCTCATCTCCACTAGAAGACTCTCTCAAAACTTCCCTGTCAGCCATTCCCGGCTGTTGATCAGATAAGGAACCAGAGGAGGTCAAAGGTCCTGACAATTCTAATACATCAGGTCTGTCGTCCTTTGTCACGTCCATCTCCTCATCCTGGTTATCAGTCCAATCACTGAGCCATGCCGGCTCATATTTTTCTGCCAAGACCTCCTCACTTGAACTCATATCAGTCACAGGAGCTGAATCCAAGCCCGGAGCCACAACACCCTGTTTCTCCAACAATACGGCCTCCCCCAATAGGAAGTCCCAGCATGTTTTATAGGCATGAAATGAAATTAAGCCCCTCCCCCCAAATTAAGACCTATATTAAAACATGCGAAATGGGGGGGGGGGGCTTGCCATTAGGAAGTACTTTTGTTGAACACCCGGATATGGTGCTGCCTGCGTTGACCCCGATACGAAGTGCCCCACCAACGCCGAGGTCAACATCCAAGCCGTCGCCGCCTGCCCGCCCGAAGATGCAGTGGGGGGGGAATTAAGTCACCCCCGAAAAGACCTAGCCATTTTTTCGGGGCTCAAAAAAAAATAAGACCCGGTCTTATTATATGAGAAACACGGTAAGAATTGTCTAACTCACCAGAAATTCCACTAAGACTCCAAGATCCCTCTCACAGTCACTGCTATTAAGCCTGGTTTCACCCAGTCTTTCATTTAAGTATTAAATGTACGAAATAATACACAACTTTGGGGTATATATCTTTTTTTAGGTAATTAGGGGAAAGAAATGACGTCGAGTTGGCCACGCCCACCCAGCCATGCCCTACCCAGCCAGTCAATTAGGGCAGAAAGCCCCTTGCTAAAAAATTTGAAGTCCACCCCTGTCGTGACTTTTTTTTCCAGTGCCGTTGTCACTTGGAACGGTCACTAAACAAATGGTCGCAAGTCACGGACTGCCTGTATCGGCAAGGCCAGTCCTGTCACGGCTACAAATTCTTGCTCCTTCGCTCACCTCCAAACCCTCCTTTGCCTTCCGTATCGGAAGAAGAAACTGCCTTGTCCGGGATGGGAGCCGAGTTCAAATCCTCCACTGGCTTCTGCGACAGTTTGGCACGGCGCTGGGCCTAAAGGGAAGAGTCGGACAGTGAGAGATTGTATTAAATGTATTTATTTTTTAAAAAATTATATGGCCACCCTACTCAATGAGGGTGAGATTAGAGGGTTTTTTAAAAAATTATTGAGCCCAAGGGTCTTCCAAAACTTGGCAAGTTTAAGACTTGTGGACTTCAACTCCCAGAATTCAACCTGAGCTAACATGACTGGAGGAGGAATTCTGGGAGTTGAAGTCCACAAGTCTTTTATTATTATTATTATTATTATTATTATTATTATTATTATTATTATTATTATTATTATTATTATTATTATTTAAAAACCCAAAATACAAAACTCTCATTTCCATTAACAGTATTTGTGTCCTCATATATACATATTTCTCATTTTGTAACTATACATCAATTTCTATCTTTATTCCTCACCCATTCATACCACCTATCCCATATCGCATAATAATCTCAATCATCCTTGCCTTTTAATCCCATAGTGAATTTGTCTAGCTCTACACAGTCCATTATTTTTGGGATTAAAGCTTCATCTGGCGGTATTTTATCGTTCTTCCAGCTTTGTGCAAAGGTAATTCTTGCTGCCGTTAAGATGTGTACAATGAGGTATCTTTTAGCCTTACTCACATCCCCTTTAATCGTACCTAATAGACATGCGTGTGGTTCCAATTTCAATCTCTAATTTGCAATTTCAAAGAGCCATCTCCGTCCACAAGTCTTAAAGCTGTCAAGTTTGAAGACCCCCTGATTTCGCGTATAAGGCCGCGGCGGCAAACCTATGGCACACGGGCAGAGACACAGGACACACGCACGTGCAGAGATGCGCAGCGCGTGCAGGGGATCGCACGCACATGTGCAGGGGGCATGGAGGGCCCTGTGCGCATTGCCTTCTGGGTGCTGGCATGTAAGTGTACAAGCGCAATTTTCGGCACGGGAGCCCCCAAAAGGTTAGCCACCATTGGTACAAGGCACAAAGTACGTGGGCATCAGTAATAATACACTATATCACAGAAGTGATACACCCCCTCACATTTTGTAAATATTTAAGTGTCTCTTTTCATGTGAAAACACTGAAGAAATGACACTGGGCAGAGGTGGGATTGAAAAATCCCAGCAACCGGGATTTGCTGGGTGGGTGTGGCTGTGGTGGGCGTGGCCTACTGGAACTTCTGGGAGGGGCATTTTTCTCCTTCCCCAGAGTCCGGAGGATTCCCTCGGGCCTCTGGGGGGGTGGGCAAAAAAGGCCTCCCCCAGGTATCAACTCATAAAATATTTCTATGGTCTTTTTAGAGTTGCCAACAGAAAGGGAGGGGGGAGCAGTGCGGCAGCTTGCAAACTGAAAGTGCATTCCATAAATGTTTTTCACAGATAGTAACTAGGTGACTGAAGTTTCTGCCGCGCAAAATTCTAACTGGAGAGCATGATGGACGACTCTGGGCTATGGAGGTGTCCCATTGGAGAATATGAATGACCATACACCCAGGGGGTGGGGGTGGGGGGGAAACCAGGGTCAAAGGTGACAATGAATGATGTGCCTCAGAGTCATGATTTAATTGGGGTTAAGTGCTGGAATCCTGACACCAGGCTCTGGAGGTCTTCCGGAAGCTGGAAACAGGCCCATTTCTGGACTTCCGGAAGGCCCGTTTTCCCCCTCCCAGAGCCTCTACGCAGACCCTGCACTTATCAGCATCGAAAATAGCCCTGGGAGGGGTGGGGTGGGCAGGGCCAGCCGGTTGGTTCAAATTCCGGTTCGGTGAACCAGCTGCAAATTTAACATCCAGTTCACCTGAACCGGTGCAAACCAATAGAATTCCACCCCTGCTTGGCTACAATATAAAGTAGTGAGTACACAGCTTGTGTAACAGTGTAAGTGTGCTGTCCCCTCAAAATAACGCAACACGCAGCCATTCAGGTCTAAACGGCTGGCAACAAAAGTGAGTACACCCCACTAAGGGATAATGTCTCCTTTTTTCCGGGAAGAATGTGAAATGAAGAGAGGCAGTTTGGTCCAGTGGTTACGCCACCATGCTAGAAAGTGGGGCATGGTGAGTTCTATTCTCCTGCCTTTGCATAAAAACCGGCTGGGTGGCTTTGGGCCAATCACCAGGAGA